AGTTATTGAGATCAAAGAAGAAAGAACAAATGATACATTATTTAAAAAAAAACCCCTCCAGACTCTGACTTCCGAGTGGCAGATTCCACTTTTTCATACTTGTCTCAAGCTTATGGAAAACAAAGATCTTTAACTGTCTTTAATGGAATTTAATAACAAATGGTTGGAAGAATTGTATAAGTAAAAAAGAAGATTTTAGTTCAAGCCAAAAAATAAGGTGACAAAGAATAGAGGGGAAATCAATCCATTCACTTTTAGAGGAGAAACAAAAAACATTACGGTCCCTTCAATCCACAAAATATCTTTTTCTTACAAAAAAAAAAACCAAAACTTTCCAAGGCAGTACAATAAAAATTAAATTTGCCATTTTATTCTTTTACTTAAAGGACTAATTTATCTTTAAAAAAAGTTTCTTTGGGCAAACTTTCTCAGAATAGAAAAAAAAACCACCTTACCCGATGGACTCACTTTCACTTCCTTCCTTCCGGAACTGTCTCTGACTTCGTCAGCCTAGGGCTGCCTGTTTGCCGCCGGCTTGAAGCACTTCCCTTGGGTCAATCAGGGACTTTGCAATGTCCCTGAGACCAGCAAGGCTTTGTCTTCCTGTTCACCATCTCTACAGAACGCTTTAGGTCCAACTGGACTGGCCAGTGGCAAAAGTGTCAACAGCGGTCTCGGACTGTCGAGACCGCATGTTGTGTTGTCGCGACGTTGGCTTCTCCTTCCTCAAAAACAATTATTAGATTTTTAATGTCCGGCATAGAGACTTCAATAAACTGTTCCAGTCAAAACCAACTTTGAGAAGTATCTAATTCCCTTATTTGTAGATGTAGGAGATGACCTCTTGGAATACCATTTTCAATTTGTATGTTAGGACTGTATTTTAAAAAATGATCCTTCCTATAAGACTAGACTAAATCATTTTCTCAGCATCTTGGTTTTACATACATGCACACAGACACACTGGATATAACAGAAACAGAGCATTGTGTTGTAGTCTATCCAATTCTTAGAGAGAAGAATTTTGATCCAAGAACTTTCCTCATATTGTTTATTTTCTTTATTCTCTGTCTTTCTATATACATATCTATGATTTTATCAGTGTAGAATGTAGCAAACCAACAAAACAGCCTGTTAAGATGCTGAACTCACAAGCCTTTGGTAGTAGGGGTGAACTATCCTAAACACAACCACTGAATGAAAATCTACGGATGGAGCAAGTGAACCAAGAGTAAGATAACTAAGCAGGCTTCATCATTCTTTTCTTCACAGCAAAGGAGGTATATCTGAAAGAGCAAGTAGGATTTGCCCTTTTTTTCACCATTGTTACATTGCACATCTCTTCACTCACATAATTTCCTGGAGTTCCTTGGAAACTAATACGTGTACTCCTAATATGTGTACTTCTCACGAGCAATTACATCCAACACCTTGGCCACCTTTTTCCACCTGGTAACCAGATGCAAGGTGGAACTAAAATGGAAAACTAATTTGGATCTCTCAGACACCTGGGATCAACTATCTTAATTGGTGTACTATATCTACAGTGCTTTGCTTTACCACCACCCCAAAATATTGGGAAATAGCTAATTTGCTTTCCCCCACCCCAAAATGTTGGGGAATAGCTAATAAATCCTTTGCACTCCCCCACCCCAAAATGTTGGGGAAGATTTCTTTGTGCTGAGAGGGCCTTTTCCCTCTCTTTTATCTATGCACAGGCTTAAATGTGTATTATTAAGAGTTCACAATTGTTCTGTGGTAAGATTCCCCAACACGTTTCAACCATAGGTATACTCCACCTTTTGAAAACATATCCAGGCTCCCTTAAATTGGTATTCTATTACATTGAGATAGTGATTGTGTTAAAGTATCAAATTTAAATATTAATATCCTGGTTATGTCCCCATGG